AGAGAGAGAGAGAGAGAGAGAGAGAGAGAGAGAGAGAGAGAGAGAGAGATTACTGTGCTATATCCTAACCCAGACTCACCATGTCTCCATAGATCTCATCAGCTAAGATGGGAACACACTGCCTTGCAGCCACTGCAAATTTTTTTAAAAAAGCATGTTAGAATCACTTTAAGTGTAAAATCTTATCATTCAACATCCACCTAGTTTTACTTTGCTTTGTGTTTCCCACTGGTGTGTACCTGTTAATCCTGATTTGTCAACTTCATTAAGAAACACATAGTAGGTTAGTACAGCACATACCTGGGAGATGTCTAGTTGGGTCAGGGAAGTGTAACCCTGTGGACTATCTAAGGTCCCTGGCCAGTTCCTCTCCAGCGCAGCCCCCTATTCTGCTTCCTGGTCTCCACAAACTCAGCAGCTTTGCTCCACCCCACCCTTCTATCCTGGAGCCAGCCAGCATGAACTGACTCAATTTCCTGAAATCATGAACTAAATTAAACCTTATCTCCTTTAAGGGTTTTTGTTTTTGTTTTTTTTTATGTAATTAGTATAAGATCTATAGGGTCTCACTACGCAAATCAGACTCATAGTGATCCTCCTGTTTTTAGCTCCCCAAGCACCACCGCACTGTCTCAGTTGCCATCTCGGCATGTGCCAGGGACAGGACCAGCACGGCATGCCGAGAGTCACCCCAGTCCCTGCACCTGCCTAAGCAGGTGCTTTACTCTGCTGAGCTATCTGGCCAGCCCTACCTCTTTTAAGTTGAAGGTGTTAGGAATTGTGTTTCTGTGAAAAGAAAGCTATCACAGTGTGTTTGGTCTTCCTCTTAAAGACCGTAAGTTTGGGCTGGGGATTTAAACAGTAGCATAGAACTTGCCTGGGATGCATGAGACCCGGCGTTCTATGCCCAACACCACAAAACCATAAAACTAAATTTTTCTAATACTCTTCCAGATCTACAGAGCCTGGATTTGACATTTAATGAGGCATTTCAAACCCTCTCTTCCATACAGTGGTGGTGGTGAATAAGCAAGTATATGTTACACATTTCTTTTCCCACACATTTGGATTAGGGATGCTCTACCTGCGTTTCCCTTTTCTCCTTCCTTTAGGCAAGACCTCCCATTCCAGGGCTACACTGTTGATTAGAGATGCCAGTGGTGGCCCTCTACCTTCATCCCAGGCTCATCACTTAGTAAAAGGATTCCTCTGTAACTCTAGGATACAGCCACAGGAGTCCATTCTTGGCCCCTTCTCTTTGCAGTGAGCCTGCCGCACTTACCTGCCAGGATCTTCTGAAGATGGCTCTTACTGAACACAGACCCACAGGGATTTGATGGATTGTTGATGACAAGACAAGCTGTCTTTTCATCAATCAGAGATTCCATTTGTTTCAGGTCAATTTCCCAAGACTTCTCTGGCTGGGGAGGAAGACAGAGGGAGATTGAGATGATTCTGAAAGAAATTATGGGACATCATCAACCCAAAGTTGCAGTGTAAGTTTGTTTCTTGCCTATACCACTCAATTCCAGACCTGTTTGTGACAGGCAATGGTCATGTATTTTTCCAAGGTGCTAGTTAAACATTTCAGTCTAAACTTTAAACATCGCTTACCACTAGATTATAGAATTTGACTTCAATGCCCATAGATTCAGCCAAAGTTCTATAGAGAGAAAAACCGGGTCTTGGAACAAGGATGTTCTGTCCTGGGTTGGCCAACACAGCTAAACAAAGTTCAATAGCCTCACTGCAGCCACTTGTCAGAATGATGTCCTGCGAAGAGAACAAAGGTTAATTTTGTTAGGGGTTCTAACAGTCACAGGAGCAAATAGCTTTGCATTTCACATTTGTGTGCAGGACAGTCAGGTGGACAAGCTGGGAAGAACACGAGCTGCAACACATTCTGAGTGAAGTAGTAAATAAGGGCTAAATTAAGCCAAAGCAAAAGACATTACTAAGTGTGGGCATATCTCAATGTTGCTGAGAATGCTGGACATTTAAATACACAACTCACTTTTAAACAGACAAGTTCACTATGACTCAACCGATTTCCATGAGAGACCTTGGACCAACTTTGAATTTTTTTTTTCTCCTGCTTATTGATTTACTTTTGGCCAGAATGTGAAGCCTGGCTGTTCTCTAACACAGATAAAGGACACCTGTCATGATAGGACATGTCAAGCTCATACAGTAACAATAGAGAGAAGGGCAGCATCTAAACTGGGCACTGCCCTCCATTTAATGTACCATGGGACAGTGTATCTGTCCTTCTGTCTGAATGCACTCAGGTGAATGAATGAAGTTACAAATAAAAAGATAGCATTGGGAAATTTCTAAAAATTAATTATTTGTTGTTTATAAATTATTTTCCAATGATCTTTTGAAGGGAATCAGCTCTGGAATGACCTCAGTGTCCTTTAGGCCTCCTTAAGATGGGTATGCTATGAATTATAGGGGATGTCTTTACCACACTGTGGTGACATCAACTATCATCCCTACTCAGTGGCCCCAGCTTCATAAGATGTTCTCAGTTGCTAACAGGGGAATATCCTCAGTCACCCCTCTAGCCCGGCCCCAACACAGGCAATCATTGCCCCTAAAGAACATAAATAAGGAGAGGGGATGCAGTTTGCCCTCAATTGACACAGAGCATCAGGACACATTGCATCAGGCTCACCTTAGCGTCCAACGGGGCTTCAGCACAGTGGTAGTAGGACGCAATCACCTCACGACTGGACAGGTAGCCTGTGAGGTAAAAAAGTTGGAGGAGGAAGCTGAGGAGATTTACTCCTCCACTAACAGATGCGCCAGAGCAAGTCAGATAGGAGTTCACGTTGCCTCCTCCCCTGCTCAGAACATAGTCTACTAAATTCAGCTGTCAGCCACTATAGATAAAGACTAATTCATAATTTATAATTTTTATAACCACAAATGTATAACCAATAACAAGGAACCATTCTCCAAACTGTAAAATGCCCTGAATTACCTTGATTACTGCGGTTATGTTTCATTCTCTATAAAATAAAGGATTTAAATTGATCTTAAGTACTTTTTATGAACTATGTTTTTTGGAAGTTGTCATGAATCCATTCAATACATGTGACGAATTTGAAGATTTTTACAATATATAATACGCTTATAGGTATTTTGGTACAAATTTTATCTTTTAAATTATTTTTTGTGCAGTATTTCCAAATTTGGCTTATAAGCTGCAAAGCCCACTATAATGTTTCACAGAACTGCTAACCAAAAAGACAAGTGAGCAAGACCAGAGGTAATACTGCATTTGTGTTCAGTTTGATAGATACAAATGGATCTCCTGCAATTGTATAAATCAGCCCTTCTTTAATTACTAATAAAAAATAACACATTCTTAGACATCTCAACATCCTTATCTTCTTAGGTATGAGACTTGGTTTTTGGTTCCAGATTGAGTCACTTCCCTAATACTTTGGATATTGAAGTCATAAACTTTTTTATAACAATTTTTATGTCCTGAATTTGATTTTTGTTGTATGAAAAATTCTGATATGTCAATAATCAACCTAAAACCAGCATCTCTAATATCTCTTTGAAATATTTTTTAAATCTAATTTTGGTAGAAACTATATTTTCCTTCCACACTAAGATTATGTTCTTATGTACACATACATTCAGGGAGGGAGTTGTACAAAACTGAGGTGAAGTTTTAAAAATACCAAAATCTTTACCATATAAATTGTTAAAAGACAGAGAGAATTAATCAAAATAGGAGTAATTCCTTTCCATAATAACCTTCTATCCTTTGTTTTTGGTTGTTTAGGGGCCTACTTCATCTGGAACAGTTATAATGGCATTTCAGTATAAACACTACCATCATGAAGGAGAAAGAAAGCAAAGGAGCTTTTGACATAGGGCAGTAAGTAAATTACTGTGAGCCTAGAGCACTCGGTAAACACGCAGCTCCGGCCAGACTCGAGGCCTGCATACTGGAATCAGTAAGGAAATCATTAGTGAAGGACTCAGTGTGTTTGAGAGCTTAGGAGATGTCTGTATATCAGAGAAAGCCAGGAAAGACACTAGACCTCATGGTAAGTAACCTGGAGGAAGACCCTTCCCCTAAGTGCAAATAGCAGCTCAATTTTAACCTGTCCTTAAGAGTTACTAGAATTGCTAGAAATGTAGTGCCATTAAAAGAACACTAAAGATTTAGAAGCTTCTGGATATAGTGTCAGGGACCTTACCAAAGGATGGGGCATAGCCATTGTATTTCCCTGAATCCAGGGCATCTTTCATTGCTTGGGTCACTTCAGGGTCTGTGGAGAGGTTTCCAAACACAGTAGGATCTCCTATTCATGGGAGGATACAAACAAAAGAAACCACCAAGAGATTACTCTCCCATGTCCCATACTCAGATTTACCCTCCACTGCCATCTTTTCCAACCAGTCCATGAGAGTAAGAAGCGACAAGATAGTGGTGCCCTCCACCAAGTATCCTCAACTTACCAATTGACAGAGAAATCATGGTTTTGTTTGGGTTTGGCTTCACCTTCATGCTGTCCACAATGGCCCGGATGGGATTGAAGGTCCTGTTGGACATGTCAGAGGGCCTCACCGACCATCTGGCCTTCCTGCCTTTCAGTTTTCCTGGCATGGAGCTTCTCCCACTGATGTTCACATGCACATCCAGAACCGGGGGAAGGCTGCCACTGTCATCTGTCTGGATTGTGTAAGGCTCCATCACTAGCAAAGCCTACAGAGAAAAGAAGGAGATCCCTGTGAGTTGGGTCGCTGTGAGGACAATGTGCTGTGCAGTCAGAGCCCACATGCAGATTGGAACATCAGGGTGACGTCACTGGATGTTGCAACTTATTTTTTGCTCTCTCTGCGTTCTTTTGTGGAGTAGTTTTATTATGGGCAAGGCATTTTAAGGCTTTTGCTGAGATAGAAAATAAAGCAAAAGCCCAGTCTACAACATTAACAGCACTCAGTTAAATTCTTATCCATTGTGACTAGGACTTTCAGTGTGCAAATGCGATCCCTGCAAAAGCTGAACCATACTCTACACAGCACCAAGAGTAGGCACAGTGGCACACACTTACAATCCCAGCACTCTGGTAGGCTGAGGGAGGAAGATTGGAAGTTTGAACCCAGCCCGAGCAAATCAGTGACTTATCAAGGACCTCAAAACTTAAAAAAAAAAAAAAAAA